TTAAAATAATTTTCTAATTCTAAATACATTGAGCTACAGAACTTTCTCAGTTGGACTGCTACACTATCATAGCCTTTCATTAAGTACACCGGAAGCAACAGCAACGGCTCCTCCTAAAATGAATCGAACAAAATTATCTCCTGTGAGTGGGCCTAGAGCATAGAGGCCTGGTTGTTGAACTCTCATAACCTTGTGGGACCACAAGTCAATCAAAATTGGATTTGAGCGACAATCAATTGGAGAGTTTGTATTTGCACCTAAACCAGTACCATCAGATTGACAAACTGATTTAAGAAAAGACAAATTGGGACGAGCTCCAATTAAAACTGCAACTCCTGACACTTTATGAGCAGAAAGGCGCCCATCGGGGCCCTCAAGGAGAATTTTACGATCTGGTGAGCTGATACCAGCTAAACTGAGGATTCGATGTTCAGGAAGGGCTTTGTACAATGGATAACATTTCCCTCCATCTTCCATCATTTGATGAACCTGAGTAGAGAATAAACACCGATGAGAGGAGAGTTACGTTAGAGTACAATTAAATACTTTCATGAGCATAATTTTATAGATATAGTATATGGATTAGACTAACAATATAACATACCTTATGATATTCTGGGTACATTATTTCTGGAAGCTGACGATCGGTTGGAATGGTTCTATTTCGGAAAACATGAAGAACAGGCACAGAGTGGAACCGGGCAGTCAAAACTGCATCCGCTGCGCTTAGGCCTGCTCCTACAATCAGAATAGGATCAACACCTGAAAGGAAGAAAGACTGATTATTAGAACAGCTTCCAGAGTTTAAAACAATAATTGCAAATTAAAACCAATCAGGAAAATAGCACAAACCTGTTTGATCTCTATCTGCTTCCTCTCTTATTCTTGTTACTAACTCCTCAACTGAACCAAAGTCATGAACCACACGGTTATTATTTGTTAGCTCTCCAGGCACATTTAGACGATTGGGTTTGCTGGTACAACCTGTCGCTATGACAACCTTTTGGCTCACATAGCAGAACGGTTCCCTATTCACCTGGTCGAAACCTTCTACCAACCACAAGGCTCGTGCAAAGCATTGTCTTCTCCCACACCAATCATTGGATGCATTCTCAGTACACTGCAATAAAATAAGATCGGTTTAGGAAAATATTGAAAGATAAAGTAAAATAAACACAAAACATATGTGGAATTTACAATGGGTATTACAAATAAATTGTAATGCTATGCTTACCTGGCAGGAGGCCTTTTCAAGAGGTTCAATATTGAGCACTTTGGTTCCACAATGAAAGTATTTTTGCAATCCCCTCAGTCTAACATAGTCAGAATAATATTGAGCAACAGAGGCGGCACGCGCCCTTCCCTCCTTGTTCCCGTTGTTGTTGAGGCACGAGTTGTACCGGTCATGATTGTTGACGTGCTCTGTGTGAAGTCCACCGACCGTTTTCTCCCACGACCGGAAGTCCAGTCCGGGGAGTTCCATCCAGGACGCCAAACTGATGGTCAGCACATTGCCGATCATCGTCTGCAAGAAGAGCAACAAACAGATAAACACCGAGGAAACCATCAGACACTCTTAAAGGATATTTTAAAATAATAAAAATAACTGAAGCGAGCAGGGAGATTTACCTGCCAGGCGCCGCCGGGCGGGGTGGTGCCGAGCACGACGTGGTCGACGCGCTGCTCCGGGTGGTGGCGCCACTGCAGCAGCGACGGCAGCTCCATGCCCTGGTCCGCGCCCGGGTGGACAAGCGCGTCCATGAGCAGGGAGAGCGGGTGCGAGGCGCGGCCCTCCAGGCCCTGCGACAGGAAGCGCAGGTCCTGCTTGAGCAGTGGCACGGGTGCTGCCTGGCCTTGCTGCGGCAGGACGCCCGACAGGCGCGCCGCCAGCATCTCGTCCGGGTGCTGGGCGCTCCGCAGGTACGGCCGGTTGCCGGCCAGCATGTGCGACACGGCGATGCCCGACGGTCCATTTCCTGCGGACGAGACAATGTTGGCAATGAGGAAACCCATCAGTAAATGATTTTGTTAAAAAAATGAGTAATCAGAAATGGAAATCCTCTTACGGCCGGGCGGCGACCGCCTGTGAAGCGGCCCGCACAACTGCCGTGCATGGTGGGTTGCCTAGCCTACATCTGCCGGGCGCTCGGGATGGCGGTTAAGAGGGGGCCGTCGACGGCACTCACCCACGATGACGACGTCCTTGTAGACGGCGCTGTCGGGCAGCAACGGCTTGGTGGTGTCCCTCATGGCGCCGCGTGCCCCGTCAGGTGGAGCAGGCGGTGCTGGCGGTGACGGTCGCGAGCAGCCCGACGGCTGCAGCTGCTGCTGCTGCTCCGGCTGCTAGCCTGCAGCCTGCGCCTGCAAAAAGAAAAGGGGGATGAGTTATTCGAAATGATGTAAAAAGTCGAGAAGAAAAAAAACCTCAGCCCAAAACATATGGAAATGAGAGAAGCTGCCGCCCGCCGTGCCGGTGCCGGTGCCGGTCGTTCACCGCGGGGCGCCGTCGCGGCGCCAGGACACGGCGCGCCAGGGCAGGACTGGCCAAGGCGGGGGCGTCCTTGGGGGAGACACGGACGGATCGGGAAGCGGCGCAGAACGGTGCAGAGCCGAGCAAATCAGTTTATCGGCTTGCTCCGCTTGCTCCCCAGACTGATGGCGGCGCCGGCAGCACGCCATGGAGTCCGGGGCGGCCGATCCATCGCCCGATAGAGGCGAAAGAAGGGAAAAGGGTCTAGCGCAACGGCGTACCGTTTGTCGGTAAGTGTTCTTTGTTTGGGGTGTAGGTGAGCGAGCGGAGGCGAGGAGGAGCCCCCAAGCAATGCAGCAGAGTGCAGGGAGCGAGGAGGCGGTACAAGTTGTCGGCGCCACTCCGGTAGTGCTGTATTGCGTGCTGCTAAACGGCGCCAGTCGCGCCCAACGGCAGGCCGGGGCGTCGGGGGGTCGTGGGGCAGG